TTTGAAAAAAGATTTGTGTATAGGGTATGATAGGGGGAAAATGAATGCTTCTTGTCATCTGGAGTCAATTTTGACTTGAATTATTAATATTTGGAGTCAGACTGCCTCTAGTCTTTTACGAGTGCACAGAACACAATTAGTCTTTCTTCCATGTTCCATGCAAAAGCCACAAATCATCACAGTCTCCAAAGGTGTCTATGCAACCACCAGCTTAGAAGGCAGACCATGCAGTGGGACTATGCTCAAAAGCCCCATCCCTGGATTCTGCAGCTTGCATGTGTGGTTGACATCCCAGAAAGATCACATTCTAATTTGATCTGACATATATTCTCTCTGTGTGGTTGGCCTGGAAATTTTGTCTATCTTGTGGCAATGTGACAAGTGCCACTCCACAGGGCTTTATGTGGTATTAGCTGGACCAAATCTGTGTATCTCTGTGTCTGTGGTGAACACTAAATAGTAAAAACTGGTGTAAGCCACTAGCACATTTTCTGATCACAGCAGCTGAGCACAAAATATATCAAATGTTAAAATATATTAACATTTGTTCTACAGGCCTATAATAAAATGCTAAGTACAGTAGTCTTGTGTTCAGGTATTGCTTGTGACATACATCCTCCATCTGAAGTTAAGCAATTGTCCTTGTCTTCTCTGTTAAAAAGACAGTGTAATTCCTAGAGGTTTGGTACTTCTCTCACGACAGTTTGCTGGAAGCCCTTTGCTGGGCAGAGACCTTACCAAGCCAACCTGAACATTAGGACACTACAAAGTGTTTTGGGTTTAAACCCCTCTGGAGAAGAGAGAAAAACTGATTTTCGCTCACTCTCAGATCAGGTTTCGGAAAACTGAGATGCTAGTGGACATAGGTTCTTGTCACTGCAGATTCAGATGATCTAACCCAAATGTTTCTCCCAGAAAAGTTTGTCTATTAGACCTCCCACTGAGATGGCTAACATGAAAATCTCTGCAAATTCAATTTTTGATGAGGAGAAGAAAGGCAGAAGTGTTGGTTGGATCTAGCCAAGAGGAAACTCTGAGTATTTTAAGAAATAAATAAAAATTGCACAACTGTGGCAAAGACAAGGTTGCTGCTAGATGAACCTAATTTCACAAGCAATATGTGAAATAGATGAAAGTGATGGGAGCAATCAGCAAAGAGTCAGCATAGAATCCAGAAGAGAAAATAGGGTAAGAAACCACTGCAGCCAATTAGCTGGCTGAAAAATCAGGAATTTGATCTGAGTAAATAGTCAGCCAGTTCCCCTGGGCCACTACAACATTTAACAACAGTACCAGGTCTTTACCAGTGATGGAAAGCATTCAGCAGAGAGTTACTCAATCACCTAGTCCTGAACAATGGTCTACTGTTGATGAAATGATGATGAAATTGGAATTTTGTCCATCATGGAAAATAGGACAGTGAAAGATACAGAATGGCCTAACAAAGAGAGGAATGGACCAGCAATCAAAGCTTTTATTTTTATTTCCTCTGCTGTCTGCAGGGTGACAGCAGAAGACTCATGCTCTGCCTCAGTTTCCCCACAAGAAAAGGATGCAGGAAACTTACACTCTGAACCACAAGAATAATCTCCACTAATCCGGTGAAAAAGTCTCTGAGTAGACATACCAAAAAGATTTAGTAAGGTTCTTGCAAACAAAAATCAGTTCACAAACTCTTCTTTTTAGAAGATATTCTAAAAGTTATGGGAGCAAAGAGAATGGAAAAGCACAATCATACATGTGAATTAAGCTCTTTGAGGGCAGATGCAGGCAAATTACAGTAGCATGGACCTCTCCACTTTCTATTTCATCTCCAAGTAATGCATGTTCTGCAGAGCAACCCCCTGCACAGACTTGGACAAATTCTAGGAACAGGTTTTAAGGCTGTCTTGAACATGCTATTTATATACAGACTATTTATACTAATTCCTAATATCCTTAGCATGGAGGTGTGCAAGACTTCTCAAAAGTAGGTGGAGGTTTTTCTAGAGAACACTTCCCTCTAGCAATTGCTGACAGAGGAACAGTCTGTGACACTGTTGCAAGGAGGAGGAAATGATAGCAACCCCTGTAGCTATTATTTGCTGCCATTAACAACACAGGTGATGTGTGGAAAGATAATGAAAAGGCAATGCCATCTCGGTGCCTTGCCTCCAAGTGCTTAGCCTGAAAATCCAGCCTGATATTCATATAGTGTTCTCAACCTGTAATCTGCTAAATCCTGTGATTAAATAATTGTGCTTAAGGTTATAACTGGTTTTAAGTTGTACAGTTTAACACCAAACGTTAGAGTTGACAAATGCCATTCCCCATTGAGTAAGGAACTGAACCTAAGCCTGGGGGCTGAGAGCTGGAAGAGCACCCAACAACTCTTACCTCTGAAGGGGAGGTAATCCCAAAAGGTAGAGTATTTTATTAGCATCTGGGGAAGAAAAAAAGGAGAGTAAGGAAAGAGAGTACTATAGGGCCTAAACCACTTATTTTACACAAGCTATGCTGTTGTGCTTGGTGTGTGGGCAGATCCTCCTAACAAATACCTTCCAGCATTGTGTAAGTCTTGTCTCCTAGGGTCAAAAAAGAGAGAATTCTGTGCTAAAATATTTCTTGTGAACTGCATAGTGGCTCTTAGGAGCTGAGGGGCAGGAGAGGATGCTGTGGAAGAGTTTCCCCTATGATAGAGAATGGCAGTAGTTTTCAACACCACATGTGTTTTTGCTGTGAGCTGAAGTGGCATCAGCTATGCAAAGCGTCTGTGAACATGGAGCTAACAAAGGAAGGAAGGCTCAGGAACTGACTCCCTGGACTCTGGAGGACCCAGACATTAACAGACTGATGCATGAAGGCATAAATTACCTGTAGACCTAGTCTTCACTGAGGACTGTGAAATGTGATCCTTTATACATTACAACATTAATGTAATCCTATATTTACCTATGCAGTTGGCTTTTCTCCTTCCTTCTTTAATGAAGTATTATTACACCTGGGAATGGGGAAAATTAGCTCATGAGGTATTGAAAAGTTTTTTCCTAGGTTTCAGGCTTGAAGATGTTTTATCAACAGCCCTTGATAAATTTGAACTAGTCCTTGTGACTGCCAAACAAGTCCTGACACAAGTTAGACTAAGAATAATTTAATGCAAGATTGGACTAGATGATCTCTAGAGATCTTTTTCAATCTAGACTTTTTTATGATGGTATAAATGGATGATTATTTTTTTTAATAGCTGCTTCACTTAGAGGCAGAGCTATGTGAATAACTGATGTTTTGGTTAGCTGGATGAACAGAAGTTCGAGGAGGGAGACACAGTGTTGGGAAACAAAATTTTCCAACTCTCAGCAAGATTTCCTCTCTCATTACAGAAACACTTAGCAACATATCAAGGCATTGCATTCCAGGAGAAATGTCACAATTTCTAGTCCTTTCACAAAGATTATATTCAGTTAGGGTTTTTTGAACAAAGTGCTACTTAGGATGAAAAATCAAAATGTTTAAAAACGCATTTCAGGCTTTTAAAAAAATGTGTTGTTTTCTTGAGGGAACTATTCATGAATTTCTGAAGAGGCGACTGAAAGCATGGATAGTCTCCAGCGAGCCTGACTTCATTTTTTGCCAGATAGACTATTTCATTAAAAAACAATCAATCCCTTTGTCTGCTTAATCACTGTTCTGACAGGCTGCAAAGGAAAGACGAAGAATTCTTGCTCCGTGTAGCGCTGCACAGTCACATGAAGCCTAAATGGAAAGCCAAACCTAATTTTGCAAGAAGCCATTAGGAGCCGTGGGCTCTCCAGTCCCACAAGGATAAAATCTTAACACAACAAGGTCCAATATTTTAGAAGTGTCTGCTCACTAGGCTGCACTTACCCATTTAAATACCTGGGCTGGCACACAAGAGTACTTAGCAAGCAGCATTGCAACTTGCAAGTTTGACAGGAAGCACTGGGTGATCAGGACTATTCAAAGCCAGACCAGTTATTTTGGTATCTTGGAGATCTCAGCCCTTGGATGCACATTTGCATATTCATGCATGCACATAGTCCACTAGAAGTTATTGAGACCACACAGTCCAGTAAGGTACATTTTTTTTAATGGGCATTTAGGGAAGATTTTGAGTCTGACTTTAGGAATTTTTGGTTTTAAGTTAAATCTTTGCCCAAGATTTTCTTCACAGTTCTCAAGATGCCTTTAAATTCTTTTTCTCACCTTCTTCCTCACTGGATTACTAAGTAAAAATAACCATTTTTTTGTAACATCCAGCAATGATAATAATTCAAAATGGAGTAATTAAATAATAAGTTAAAATATATCAAACCTCTGCAAAAGGAAAACTGACATCAAACGAATATTCTTCTAGTTCAAATAAACCAAAATAATAAACAGAAATTGCTTCCTGAGGCAGCAACTCTTTTGGATGCTGCATCAAAATTGAGCTGAAGAGCCAGGTTTGCTCCCCTGGACAAGCTGAATGAAAGGGACTCTGCTCCAAGCATCTGAGCAACACTGGTTGAAAAAAAATTATGAAAGATGAAGCAGAGGCAAGATACCGACTGACTGAGGGCGTATGGGAGACCTAAGGACAACAATCAATCATGGATCTGTAAGCTGTTTAAAACTACTCAGTGCTTGGGAGCCAGTGAAGGAGCAGCATCTGTGTGCTCAGACTGGCTGCAGTTCCTCCAAAACCCAACTCAGTCCAAATTAGGGGGAAGCACTGCCATGAGCACTGTGTTTCTCTGCACTCCCTCCCACTGGCAGAGAGCCCTGCACAACCTGCACCCGTTACAGGGAGTCACTTGAGTGTGGAGACAAAGCCTGGGTCTCTAAATATTTAGACAGCCCATGTTTTTGGCAGCATGTTGGATTCCCTACCCAGGGTTTGCACTGGCGCCTGCTTGGACACGTCGGGATGGGAACGCCCAGCACAGGCCTCAGTGTGCAGGTTGGATGGGGAACACAACCACTGTCGCTGCGTTTGAGGCTAATCGGGTTTGATATCTCACCTCTTGGTTCAGCATGGGCTTGCAGCCCGAGTTTTTGTTGGTGAGCTGCAAGGGTGCTATCTGGCTTGTCATGTCTAATAACTTTCTCTTCTGAAGGCTGATATGCTGAAAGATCTGTGCTGCTGATGTTAAAAGCTGGATTTTCAATGCCTTCTGTTGCTGCTCTCTCTTCTTTTACTACAGAAAACAAGGAGGTCAGAAGAGCACATTATAGCAAAGTGTATTTCAATGACAAGAAGAAAATTCCTTCTAGTAATTCCTTAGCTGAATGACTCAAGTGTATCGTCCTCAAATGTCGCCAAAACAGAATTAGGTTAAAATTAACTCAAAAAAAAAAAAAAAAAAAAAGAATAAATGATTAAAATAATTACAAATTGCACCCTGACAAGCAAGAGCAAAATTTCGCCCACAGCCATTTGTCTGTAATTAGTTAATTAATCCTTACACAAATTATGAGCAATAACTCATCAAGCAAGGCTCACCCATCAGAAATTCAGCCGACTTGGATTTCTTCTGCTTAGTTTGCTTCAGAGCCTTCTGCTGGAACTTCTGGAGGGAAATTGTTAAATGAATAAATTAGCTAAAGAACGAAGATCATCCTTTATGATCCACAACTAACACAGTATTTTAAATATGGGATGGCATTGAAATGTCATTTAATTTAAATCTCTGCTAAAGGGGTCAAACACTAATTGAACAACAGAAGTGGAAGAATTAAATAAAATACAAGAAAAGTTAAAACAAATGCCAAATGAAGGTCACATTAAAATACTTTGTTTTTCCCCAATTTTAATTAATGCAAAGAAACCTCAACAAATGAAGAACATTATAAGACTTGTCTTTCAGTATGCATTCAAAAGCAACTGCTTTATTTCACTTGCAGAACGGCAGCATTTCATTTAGAAAAGTTTAGTTATGTAGCATATTTATAGACAGACTTCCCTGACATCCCCCATTCTCCTGTTTTCTAAGTCCACTTATGTAACCAGTTTATTTGTTCATCATAGAGCAGCCAAAAATGAACGAGCTCTACCCTTTAGTATAACGCAATAGAATAAAAATAACACCAAAACAATTTTAAATGAGGTGTCACCAAAAAAATTATCATGGTCCAGGGGAGAGAGGAAGCAAGACTCATTGCAACAATGAAAAGTTCATTCAATATTAGAGATGCCAACAACTGCTGCAGTGAAATTAAACAGCAGGAGATCTTGGGGGATCTAAACTCTGACAAGTTTTACAGCAATTCTCATGGGGAAGCAAGGCCCAAAATTATATGGTCACATTACCCTAAGGAAGGCCCAGGTGCTAAGACTGGTTTTGTAGAATACCTCGAACAGCAGTGGGCAAGAGTCACACGTGGTCTCATACATGGCTACAGACCCCTATCACAGATGCTGACAATCAAAACAGGCAAAGATTACCAAAACAAAGCACATCTGGGAGCATTCATCAAAGCCAAAACCAAACTAAGAAAAGAGTTCAGACCCATTTATTTTAGAACGTCACATAGCAGTTTCCAAAACCAGCATTATTTTTTCAAGCCAGTTGCTTAATTGTCCAGTGATAAAGACCACTCCTGGCAACATAGCTCCTGGAGACTGTCAATACAAAAGGATTAATTACAAGAATCATTGAAAAATTGCATTTTTACAGCATCCATCTTTCCCATTTGATTGTGGGTGTCAATTTCCAGTAGAAAAACAGTGCTTGCAGCAGACACAATCAATAAATCTGTCAAAAATAACTGGACCATACTACTGACAGATTAATATAGATATTAATATCTTCATTGCTATACGTGTATATATGCACACAAACATACATGTTTTTCTGGAAACAGTGGACTTCCTCTAAATGAAGACTAATATGCTACTAAAAAGCAAAAGTGTAAAAAAGACCAGACACATTCTGAAAGCTACAATAAATAAATATAATAAGAGAAACCATTCCTACAAACCACATGCAGAACAACTGAAGTTAATGATAATTTTGACAGGAGTTCAATATGTTCAGAAATTTACCCTACTGCTTCTGATTTTTTCACAACTGAAAAATCATTTAAAAATACATATTCATTCAGTTAGTATCTTTAAAATTATACCTGTTTTGCAATATTAAAGCATTGGTGCTTTCCTGCATGCTGTAAAATTTTGAGTCACTTCTAAAGACTACAAAGTATTTGTAACACTGCTGTGTGATAATTATCCTTATTATGCTGTGAATAGTCAACATAAAAAACCTTAACCTTCATGTTAAAAGCTAAAGAAAACAATATCAAGACAAAAATTCTGGGACAAATTTTCAATGGTATAAAACAGTACACATCTATAATTTTGATGGAATTAAGATGATCTGCATTACTTTATGTGTATTCCTCCTCCATGTCAGATTTCCCTAGCTAAACTAATTGCACACTATATTGGCTATAGTCAATTTTCAACTGCTTAAGTCTGTAAAATGCACAAGCTCCTTTCACAGCAAAAAGAAGAAAAAATATATTCTTCCTCCCCGCATATAATAAAGATGCGCAGTGCGGTTTGATGTTTTGGAATGGGTTTGTATACATGTGTGTTTTTGGTGTTTTATTGTTTGGGGGTTCATTTGGGCTTTTTTGTTTGTTTGTTTGGGAGGGAGGAGGTTGTTCAGGTATTGGATTTGGTGGTTTGTTTTTTTTTTCAGTATTCAATAAAGTTAACAGCACATTTTGGTTTTTTCAGCTACAAAACTGACTATATTCACTTCAGTCAAATGTAAACTAATATTTTTAAGTAGTTGTAACAGGCTTGTGATCCCTACTTACTACAAAGAGATGATACCCTTGTCCCTTAATGCAATCAGATTTTGAAAATGTATTTTTCATCAGTTTATGTTTTTAGAATGAAAGCAATACCTGGTTTTCAACAGCAGAGAGGAATTCTTTTAGGGCTACTACTCAGCATAACTGAATAACTGAGTATTTGAGTGGTGGCCTTTGTGTAATATCAACACATGTTCTTGTCACTTTGTGCTTCAGAGGAAATTAGAAGACTTTTTAGTCTTAGAAAGAATTTTTCTTTCATACGTGTTTCCAGCCAATTTCCTCATCCTTCTCTTTTTTACACATGAGCAATTTTAAGTAGTGTAAATAACATTCTTTCTTCCCCTTTTTATTTTAGGTTTCCTTCCCCAGCCCCCTACCATTATGATACTTCGTCTTCTCATCAGAGAATAGGTAGGAAATTATCCAGTGGCATTTTATACTCATTTTATCATTAGTCACTACTAGTTAGTTTATGTATTTATGCAAATTTATGTCATAAGCAAATATTTTTTAATCAGTTCATATGTACCTGCAAAACTTAGGTTTCCAATAGCAAATTAAATAAACTCTTTCAGTGACCACTTTCTCTTTGCAGGCAAAGTCCAGTTATGTGAGCATACCTAGACAAATGCACTTGAACACACATCCATACAGAAAGCCTCCATTCAAGTTATAGAATATTATCAAAAAATAAACACAAAAAAAAGCATCCCTAAAGAAAAAAAAAAAAAAAGGAAAAGTTTCACAACTTGAGGCCAGAGCCTCAGAGATAAAAAGGCTATGCTGGTTTACACCTGTGGTGGAGAGGGTACGACTTGCATCCACAAACCAAACACATCAGACCTGCCTATTCACAACCAGCACGTAGAAAGGGGACGTCCTTTGCTTACAAAGTCAAGTTTAAAAGGTGATGTTGCTGCTGATAGCAATTCATCCTATCTCAAATCTCCATCACAGTTGCTGAAAAATAAAGTCTTGCCTTTTTAACTATTTTTTTACTGTCTTTTTACCTTGAGTGATGCTGCATTACAGCAAAGACAAGGGGAGTTAAGAGTGTCTGAGCACAGTGCAGACTAGTCACCATGTCATTCAAAAAGTGACCTAAATCTTTAAAGGCTTTTTTTTACACACCATCGTCATTAAAACGCACCGCCTGTTTTCTGATACTGACTGAAACAAAGGAAAACCGGGAGTACCAGAACCTGCAGCACTCGCATCTGCAGGAGAGCAGCGAGCACCGCAACAGCAGCAGCAGCAGCAGCAATGGCGAGGGAAAAAACCCTCATTTATAACCAGTGACAACTAAAACCTATGAAGTTTTTAAAAGAATGTGATTGTTGTCAAAAGGAATTGGGTACAACAATGCTGCATTCAGCTCTGGTTCCACTCAAAGCTGTGGCTGAGGGGCTCTGGGAAAGCTGCTGGAAGGCTGGTGGGCACAGACCAGCAAGAAAGTGAATTTTGCATACTGTACGGATCATCGCTCAGTTCAGGGCAGTCATATTGAATCTGTGATCAACCAATTGTGCTTCATGAAACCGTCAGCCCTCATTTATGTCTAGCTGTTTTCTTCTGTCCTGCTGTAAACAAGCTCTGCTCTGAGCTGTCTCCCTACCCTTATCTGCTTACGAAGATCACACAGACAGACCTCATCAGCAGCCTTAGAGTTAAAGTTAAAGTTACTGCTTCCAGACAGCAGTCCCCATGCAAGCTGGAAGTCAAAAAGAAGAGCAACTTTGGAATGACAGAGTTTTAGTTCCTTTTAGGAAATGCATACCTTAGATTCATACACATACTGGCATGTTATGTCTCTTTCATGAAATTAAATTAGGTGTTCCTAATATGAACAACTGTTTCTAACATCAGCAAACTAGCTCAGCAGATTCATCCATGGTTTTTGTTTGTAGGTTGGTTGTCTTGATGTTGGTTGTTGGGGGGTTTTTTGGTGGTTTTTTTTTTGGTTGGTTTTTTTTCCTTTGGGGCCTTGTTTGAATACAGCCAAAAGACAAGTATCTGGAAATATCGTCAATCTGGTGGGGCTCCAACAACCTAATAATTCCTGAAATGCTCTAAGGAGTGTAATGATGGTAAACAGGAACAGGTATGTTGGCTTCTGTTCTCATTCACTTCAGTGAGAGCATTAGCCTTTCAAGGTACAGCAGAACACAGTTTTCAAAGAATGATTCTCTCAAATGAAAAGGGATGGAGCCTTACTGAACACATATTCCTCTGTGAACACACTCACACACAAATGCGTTAGTGTCTATTTACAGCATTTAATTCTTTCAACCAGCTGCTAAGTCCCTGTTAAGTCTTTCCTTTATGCAGCTGGAGCTGAAACCTTTTCTTTTCTCCTAGCCTATCACTTTGTCTATTTAAGGGATGGCAGCCAAAGAGAAACTGCTTGTAATTTGCACCTGTCTGCTTTAAGCACTCCGTTAGATTTTGCAGAGAGCAAACTCTTCATTGCTAAAGAGAATGACACTTAGTAGGGCCAAAAATGGCTTTTTAGCTGACTCTGCAGCAATTAATAAATAAACAAATAACCCCCCACTTTGTTTAAGCCTATTCTAGCTAGACAATGAGGCTAAAGGAGAAGCCTTGTTGTAAAAAAGCACCTCAGTGTGTAGGTGGAAGATGTAAACCCATGTGTCTAGTCTAATATAATACCAAGCACAGCTAAGCATGATTGAACCTGTACACTGCCCACGCATGAGCACATTGGAGAGCTTTGGCCTCTTCCCCTATAAAATTCAGAATTGTTTCAGAAAATAATCATGTGCAAGGAGTCCTTCTGAATTTCTACAAACTGGGATGCCTTTTGAGGACTCACAGCAGGCTTTACTACCTAGAGGGTCAGGCCTGTGAGAAAATTATTTTCATACAACTAAAAAGAAATGTAAGCTCCTCTCCTGATCCAGAGGTGTGCAAGCATTGCCATGCAGAGTCCCTCCCACTAGTTGGAGTGTAAAGAAGTGAAGATGTACATCAAGCAAGTAACCCACAGATGATCTTTCAGACATACATAAACTATCTTAGCATGTTTGCTTCTTGCTAGAAAACAAGTGTTTTCAGTCAACCACGGTATCATTTACAATTGCGTTTAAAGAAACAACAATCTGACTGGTATATTCGTTTAGTTACTGAGAAGTAGGCTTTTCAGTGCTTGCTCTTAAAATAGAAAAGCCTTCAAAAAACTCAAGCTGCAGAGCTGATGACAAGAACAAAAATGCCAGGGGTGAAAAAAACCTAGAAGGGAAATAAAACAAAGTAAAACATACAATTTATTAAAGAAAACATTGGTGCTACATTTTGATTTCATAAATTGTCCCCATTTGTACTTCCTGTTTAAACAATAACTAACATGATGATGGGTTAAATGAAGTTGAGATTGCCACAAACATGGCCTCACTAGTAATTAATGTAGTTTAATATGGTTGTTGGCACACATCTCACATGACAGATAATGTTCCAACATGTCACTGATAGGACCTTTCAGCACAGCTTTAGGAGATCTACCAGGCATTGCCGAGGTTGGTTGGGTCAAAGGGTTGAACCATGTGTAATTCAGAACAGAAGAGGTCCCACGGTCACTCCACAAAAACAATTACACTACTTATTTCACTTCATCCCTTGCCCGAAATTCACAAGCCTCACAGTTTCAGCGCAGTCAATCTCACTCTGCCCTGGGGCTATGAGCCACATGAAAATATGTGGTGCTGTGTTTATAAATCTAATCAAAAATAGAAACAGTAGACAAGCACAATGAGGTCCTACTATGGATCATGGGAATTCTCTAAATTCTGAAGGCACTTTTGTTTAACTTCTGTGGGTCTTCTCCTACCATTACATTGTCTGGTACTCTCGTTAATCATCCCCTTGACTTGCCAATGATATAAAGGAGCCTATACGTCTGCTGACTTCCCTCCCATCACACTACAAATAATATTATGAAATAGCAAGGCTAGGAATAGTTCCTTTAACTTTTCCTTTTCAAAGCATGGTTTTTCTTCACTTACCTCTTTCTCCATGCCAGCCTGCCCTTTCTCAGACCCGCAGTAAAAAGTGCTTCCTCCTGCAATAAAGGAAAGGCAGCATATCTGACTTTTCCGTCTGCACAGTTATTAATACCACTAGGTTTAACATACAGACTAGCAGAGCACTAGCCTAGAAACCTGCCAGGATAGGGGCCAGGGGGGGCCTTTCCTGATGCTGTCCCTACTCTGACCTTGCCAAAGAGCAAAGGGAGGATATAGACCTGCTTCTTCACTTTATTTTTTGAAAACAAATTTGCATCAGATCATGAAAAAAAAAAAAAAGGCTAACAACTATAAACAAGAAACTCACATAATTTAAGCTCATATGAAGAATTGCCAACAAAACAAGATTTTGAGTGGAAGCAGCCCAGAAATAGATAATTCCTACCCCCAGATAGTAAGCACTAAAATGACGCAGAGTTTACTGCGGTATACATCTTATCTGAATACTACAGTACCAAAGCTGTTATATGGGAATAAAACTTATTCATTCAAAACAGCCAAACAGGTTGCCCCTGCATTCACTGAAATCAATGGCAAAACTCAGTCTGACTCTGCAGTTGCAGCACCTGAATAACAATGAATAGCAAGTTTCTTCCTTTGCCAGCTTTTCCCTTATGCATTTACACAAACATACATTCAGATTATTTTGCTGAGCCTGAAAACAAAACAAGACTTTGAACAATTAAAAATATCCCTTCAGAGTCACTCAGAAGCTCTCGCTGACCTTCTGGGTCAGAAGATGCCCTGTACAAAGTACATGTTTGGCCCCAGTTGAGGAAACCCTTTCTCCTGAGGGCACCAAGCAAAGAAGTGCCTAATTCTGAGTACGTGCTTAAATTTCATTGAAATCAATACAATGGACAGTGGGCAGGGCCACAGATATTCCATGGAAAAAGGCTGCATTGTTGCTCTAGTTTCTCGGTAATGAATGAAGGCCTGAGCTTTTGCTCAGGCTTTGCTGATGCTGAGAGCCTGCTGACCTTTGCCATCACTCCTCAATTTTGGTGCCCTTCTTGTGGTGCCAAGGCCATTGAGGCAATACTGGGGGCTGCAATTCCAGCAGTTCCCACTCTTCCTACATCCAGCCCTGCCCAAACAGCCCCTGAACCATAGCCCATGTCTGCCACAAAAAACATGCTCTCTGCTCCATGGCACTATGTGATAGTGCCAGCAAGACCATGCAGGTAGGCTCAGGTCATGCATCTAGTCATTGTGTCTCAGAAAACAACCCCAGAATCCCAATTCCAAAATCAGGGATGAGCTTCCAGGACAAGGTAGTATCTGCATTACTTTTGCAGCTACTGGAACTGTACATCCACTGAATGGAACAGGTAACTAATTTCAAACCCAATGGCATGGCATATTCCTTGTTACAACTCAAACAAGAGCAGCAAAATTAACCACCCATATGAGTTAAAGGCAATAAAAGCTTGAAGGGGTTCCTTCCCTTTTCAAAGGACAATCCCAAGAAACTGTCAGCCGAAGAGAATTTATCAAGACATAAGCTGTAAATTCAACATTTTCATCTGTGGTCAACATCTGCTCGTTGGAGAGGACCCAAAGATGCAGCGGTAAGGACTCTCAAAGATGCAATAGTCAAAGGAATCTAAACATTAGTGGAAAAACTTGGAGTTTTGTCCTAAAGAAGGTGGTTGACCAAATAAGGACAGCAAAGACAAAGCTCACAGAATCACAGAACCAATTAGATTAGAAAAGACCTCTGAGATCATCAAGTAAGATAGATAAACAATGAGTTCAGAGGAGACACCAGTAACATTAGTGCCTAAACAGTGATTTCCTTAGAGTTCAGGAACTTCCTTTTATTTGGGTTTTCTGGGATTTTTTTTTGTTGGTTTGCTTGGGTGGGGGACACTTTGGTGTGTTTTTTAAATGAAGGTGCTAGACGTCATTTTTTCATTATTCTTTATAATACCAAACAGGCAACACATTCAACACCGCATTAACTGATGTTGACTGTGGCCTTACTTAACCTCACCAGCCTATTTTCTTTAGTTGGATAACTGCTGAATCATTAGCATTAAACTAGCTTGCATTCCTGAAAGAGTACAGTAGAAACAAAGTACATGATTTTTCCATCAATCAAAACACAACATAAAAGATATTTGAGATCCCACCAGATATTTTATTTTATATCCAGTTGATGTGTTTTGCATGATTTAGGGATGGACTCCAGTTATTTTTAAGTACTTTTGTAGAAAATGGCAAAGTGAAACTATGACTTCAAAGTTCTTAAATTGGATACGATCACCATTTTTTAATTTTTTTTTGCCCAATCATGCTTTATTTTCTACTAGAGGAAAAACTAAGGATGCTAGATTAAGTAGACAAGATAAATATAATAACTTTCTGTAGTGAAAGTAATCTATTTTTAGTGCAAAAATGGAAGAATTGGAGAGATGAACTCTCAGGGCCACAACTCCATTAACAAGCTCACACTACCAGTCCCACACCCAGAAGAGATAAAAAGAACACACCTTTCCACTGGAGCATGTTCAAGTGCATCTTTGTCACAGTAGTGAATATTTTATGCCGTATCAGCTTCTAGAAATCACTTGGACTGCATGAGGAGACAGTATACAATAAGGTTCTTGCAAATGTACCCATAAAATATACTGTTTTCACCATGCTGGCATGCAGAGGGAAAAAAATGTCCTGTTTGTAACGATGTACCCAGCATATCCTTAAAGTACACCCAAATGCAAAGGCACATTATCACCGGCCAGGGAAAGCAATGCCAGGCACAGCTAAGGTGTTGGTGATTGCTGGCGGAGAAATACCAGGTTCATAGCAGGAGTAGCAAAGCAACAGTCTGTCATCATGGGGGCTGCCCTCACTCCTTTCTCACCTTCACCTGGTACACAATTTATCACATGCTAAGAAGCAGAGCTGTGGGATCTCTCTGCTACGATATTGGCAGAAACCACTGAGTAAATGATAACCCTAACAACATGCTTTTAATTCCCTTTGGACTTTCTCATAAATACCAGGTAGCCAGCACTGGTCTTTAAGAAGTATTTCTTCAGGGGAAAATTGCACCTCCAGTGCAGAGAATCCATCAGTCACTTAAATTCATCAGGACTGACCTTTGAAGCCACAAGCACTGTGCTTATCCTTCTTTCATTATCAATTTTGGGAGCAGGCCCTTCAAAATAACCTCAGATTCATTCTATACCTTCTCTTTTTATTTCTTTTTTTCTTTTTTTTTTTTTTTTAATTTAAAAAGTAAGGAGCTTACTGGAAATATGCCTGTATAAAGATTGTTCACACGTTCAAAATTAAGATCACATTCAATTACTTCCCTTGATAGGTTGTGATGTCCCTAGCCTTTTTCTGTGTGCCTGCAAAAATAGATACATGATTTTTCTATTGATAAACCTCAGTAGGCAGCCAAGCATCACTCAGCTGCTCACTCACCCTCCCTTCCAGTGGAATATGGAAGAGAATCAGAAGGGTAAAAGTGTAAAAACTCATATACAGACAGTTTGGAATCATAGAATGTTTCGTGTTGTAAGGATCCTTAAAGATCCTCTAGATTCAATCCCCTTGCCATGGGCAAGGACACTTTCCCTAGACCAGGTTACTCAGAGCCCCATCCAATCTGGTCTTGAACTCTTGCAGGGATGGGGCATCTACAGCTTCTTTGGGTAACTTGTTTCAGTGCCTCACCACCTTCACAGTAAAGAATTTCTTATTAATATCTAATCTAAACCTACTCTCCTTCAGCTTAAAGCTATTCCCCCTTGTCCCGTAAATGTAAAATTTACATGCCCTTGTAAATAGTCTCTCTCCATCTTTCTTCTAGGGTCCCCTCAGGTACTGGAGGGTTGCAGATGGAACATCCCAAAGCCTTCTCTTTTCCAGGCTGAACAAACTCAATTCTCATAGCCTTTCTTTGTAGGAGAGGTGCTCCATTGGCCTAATCATCCTGGTGACCCTCCTCTGGACTTGCTCCAACAGGCCAGTGTCCTTTCTGTGCTGAGGGTTCCAGAGCTGGATGCAGCACTCCAGGTGAAGTCTTATGAGAGTGGAATAGAGGGATAGAATCACTTCCAATGGCCTTTTACCACAAACCCAAAACATAGCCCCATAAAAGTTCTTAAGACAAAATTTAATCTCAGCCAAAACTAGTACACCATGTAATCCCGGCAATACCTGTGGATTGGATAAAATACCAAATTTTAGTTGCTGTGCCACCATTCCAATATTCCCACTTCCCACCAAATGGAAAGCACCACACACAAACTCTCACCATGCTGCTTCAGAGCCTGGCTTACGGATGATCATCACCTGATGAAATCACGGGGCTCATGTTGGATAGTACTGAAATTTTTCGTGATCACCTGACAGTACTGAGAGAGGAGCAAAAACAGCCCCAGCCTGGACAAAAGGCTTTCCAGGATGGGATGACAAACTCCCACTCTTTCTTGCCAGGTTTTTGGTTTGGTTTGGTTTGGTTTGGTCTTTTTGCACAGCTGCCCACTGTAAAGCTTGGAAACAGCTCAGATCAAGATGGTAGCAGGCAGCAGGACTGGGGAACTGAGCATAGTAAGAAAGTCATGCTCCTCCTGGTCATTGTCAAGCCTAAATCTCTTTTTCTCCAGTTTTCCTCTTGCAAAACAAGCACAATAATGTTCCTCATTACCTCCAAGACCCTAGCAGTCATGGTGAATTTCTACAGATCCCTCTGGTTGCAACATCATGGTACCAGGAACCTCAGCACTGTCACTGTCCTTGCTTTTCCCTTCCCAATCACATCCCAGTTCTTAACCAGCAAAAAAAAAAAAAAAAAAAAGGTTCTTTCCATTACAGAAAGTCCTGTACCTTGTAATTCTTAAATAACATGGCCTTCACATTACAGCAGAATGTTTGGTAAAGGCACTGAGCTGTACATGAAATCCTAGTGTGTATATATATATATATATACTTTAGAGACAAAACTAGTGAATAATTTTTCTTGTGCAAAGACAACACTGGAGTATCTATGGAGTCATCATTTGCAAAGGTAAATAAAAAAATCTAAGTAGAAAATACTTACCATCAGTAAATATTTGTGACAACAGCCCCAACTTCTTCTAAAAAGTGTCTTAGAGTTTCTTCCCTAATTTATTTTCAGGGAGTAAGTAATTTTGTGACTTCACTTTTTACTAGCCATAGATTTTAGCACTTCCTCATTAACTTCTACCATTCATTTTCTGGTTTCTACTACTACTGCAAAGAAAAACAAAACAGTCAGAAATTAGGGAATCCCTTTGTGGAATCAGCCTACAATTACTGGAGAATTGTTTTCTGAGAACGTTTCCCTGCAAATAGCTCAGGTGACCTGCACTAGGAAAAATTCAGTTTTGTTTTTTGTTAGTCACAGATCAAAATTTCAAATATATTTATAAAAATGTAATAGTAAAGGATCTCCTCTCTGAATTAAGCAAGAATATAAGCAAGGATACACTGGAAAATACAAGAAAATGCATCTTGTAAAAGATGTTCTTATTACATATATACCACTTCAGATATCAATACTGTTACTGATCAGTAGACTTTTCTTTCAGTCATAGAGACAGAAATCACACCATATGAGCAGTCCCAGAAGGAATACCTCTAGTGGTTTCACTTGCCTCTGGCATGAGTTTCTGGATTAGTGTCATATACGTGTCAGCACGAAACAACATAGGCTACTTGTTCATACATTACTCCTCCTTATAGCACTCTGTATGCCAGCTGACACTGACTGTACATATACATCAATATATTCAACCCAGTGAGTGCATCCCTCTGTCAGGTACTCGTAAACGAGACACAACCACCAAGTACAAATGGAGGGAAACTGAGGTAATGGTGTTTCTAACTGAGAAAATGACACAAAATAGACACAGAATTAACGGCACTGTTTACATACTGCTAATTAGAAATGGCAATTCTATAAAGACATATTTTTATTAATAAGTAAACAGAGTTGCAGCTTGGTTTTTAAGATCTAGTTAGCTGATAGGACACAGACACACCCAGTCTGAAGTCTGCAGTGGTTTCCATTAGTTTTCAGTCAATAACAGTAGGAAAATTGTGCCTGGCGTATTTTAAACTTGGGTATCCTCAGCCAGCACGGCTAGGTGTGAAGTTTCTTTGTTCCAGCCAGAAAATTAGCAATTGGAATTCTGACTCCAAGATTTCAATTCTTGAAATAAATGCTAGCGATGTTTCATTTATTACATGTAAAAACCAGCTACTTCAGGACTTTGAGCAAGCAAAGAATATTCAAACATGACTTCTTCCGAATTCCTGCATTTTGGGATAAACAGTAGGTCCAATAGGCCCAAACTGGTTTCTAACCAATGGAGTAAAACTGAGACAGTCTCTGCATGACTTTCTCTGATAGAGTAGAAGAGTCAACAGCAATCCCATGACAGGTTCTCCTTGGTGACATAGCTTAATAAGTTTCTGCCCTCTGCCTCCTTCTTCTCTCCAGCCGTTCATTCCTGTCCCTGGGCTGCAGCTTCACTGCTGTCTCACTGGGCTGATATTACTGTAGATCTAAGCCAGGGTAAAAATACCTGTCCCCAAAACACTTTCCTTTTTTATTATTTACCTTGAACTGTTTCATTGGTCCTGCACACAGCTGTGCCACCACAACTAGGGCACAACAAACTTCATCAAGGAAAAAGATTATCCTTAAGTGAGCTTTCCCACTAGAGAGAGTATATTCTGAAACTAGACCCTCATAACAGCATTAAAGTTTACTGTCAGCCACACAAACTAAGAATCTGAAAATATATATGTTCCTCCATCAGCAGAACAAAGTGAAAAACTGCACTGATTGGCAATGTGAGACCTAGAACAGAATGTACTACCAATTCCTTATTGCAATAGGTACAGCTAATTAAAAAGAAAAAACAAGCAAATGGAAAACCAAAAACAAATAAACCCAAACAAAACCAATCAAAACCACATAAAAAACCAAAATAAACAAAAGCACATTAAAAAAACACACACACAAAACCCCAAACTTCACTGAGGTATCATGCATCAAAGACTTGAGGATTTGGAACCAGGAAGGAGACATACTACCATGTCCAGCAGTCCAGCCTGTCTCCAGAGAGGATGTCCACACATAATGTGTCTTCTCACCCTTCTCACCTGTCCAATGCCTGGGAGAACAGTGGGGAAGCCCTGTTTGTTTCTCACCCACTTGGGTGCAACCTGCTGCCCTACAGCTAGTTGTTCAGTTTTGGACTTGGACAGTCTGGAAGTTAAAAGGGGATGAATTTTCCTTTCCACACAGGGTAATTGAAAGTTTTTTTGAGGTTTCAGAGGCATGCTAACATTTTGATAGCTCATCTTGGAAGAGCCACTTTCACTCGAGAAGTAGGTACACTGAGCCAGAAGAAGTTGTTTTCTCACCATCACTTGTTTTGTTAGGAGAATGAGTGACATTTGGATTTCTTGGTTTTTACTAGTTTGGGTCACATCCAATCTAAAAATAGCTTTTAATACTGCATTTTTCACTACTTCAGAAAAAGGTTTAAAGCATGTAATTTACTCACGTAAGATACTACATGTTCTACATTTAAGTCTACTGGTTCATTGATTGCCTAGTTAGGGTTTGGTTTAGACAATTATTAGAATTTAAAAACATATTATATATTAAGTGGAAGACATTAAATGAGAAAGAGATCTGTAATTTATAGGTCTCAATCCTGAAAACCATTTATGCAGACATTTTATTTTCACATGAATTACTTTATTGAATGCAGCAGATAAATTCATAAACTCACATCCAACTGAGAACATTTGTAGTACGAGAATGTGTGAAAATTTCTACAGAACTAAAAAGACGTGATTGCACTTCATTTTTTCTGACCCCACATCCTTCCTTCCTCCCTCCCTTCCTCAAATACCAAATAAAGGACTTAAGCAGCTCATTCTAATATCTCTTCAGTGGTTTCAGGTTGGTATAATTTCCCTGACTTGAGAGAACTATTTCTCATTTGCTGAAGATGAAAGCAGTTTCAGATACTTACTTGCTGATCAGTCACACTCTAAAAACTAAAAGCACTGAAATGTACATAAAATACCTCAAATGCTAAGCTCTTTTCCCACAGAAATTTCAACATGATGTTTTCCTACCCTAAATAGCAGGTTTACTACATACCACAATGGGTGTCACAGGTTGCTCAGTGGAGCAGTATTAAATTCCAGCTATTAATGAGTAGCAACTTTTTAGATCAGACTGATTTTGCCAAGGAAGATGGTCCCAGCACAGCTTATATGGTGCTGTGCAGCAGTCAAATAAAGTATGGAGCCCACTGGAATCAATGAGAAGACTACTACTGAGTCTGAAAAACTTTAGAGCATGCTGTCAGTACTACACAAGTCCCATTCTAAAAGTAGGGACAACTAGAAACCTCAGAATATCCATAGAAGCTGGTAGAAACTGCAGAAGTGACCTTTGTGAAGCACCAATACTAACACAGAGGATAGGTTGGACAATGATGAACAAGCAATACTTATATAGCATGTTTATTTTAGGCAACATTTTCTTGTGGGTTTTTCTCATGATAGCTGAAAATATTAAAATAAATATCTCTGGTTTACTTCCTTCTCTTTAAAGAGAATTCACTTCCTAAACTGTTAACACCAAAACTAAATGACAATTTGTATAAGGTCATGTTAAACTGTTGTAGATTTAATCTATCCCTCAGACTTCATAAGACCGTTGGAAGGGTTAACACAGCCGTGATCTACATGCAGGTGAGTGGGTGTTTCTGCACAATGCCACCACACCTCATCAAATCAGAACTTGGAAGAAATCTTCAGCAGATCTTCCATTTCATTCCATCTGACCAAAACCCATGTTTTCCCTCTGTACCTGAGACCTCATATAAAGGTGGTAGTACTAAAATGCAAAATATAGTGATTAAAATGCCCCTTTCAAGCCCTGGCTCACTGATGTGCTCCTCCTAGTTAACACTTAGCATGTTACAAGTGGAAATTGTATTACAAGAGGCTCTTTGTCTCAGAATAGGTGGATTAATTCTTTTTCATTTTTGACTCATGAATCACAAAGGAAGGACATTTGATTTTGAAGTTATTGATATGCTCATAGGTTAAGTTTGAGCCCTTAGATAGTTACTTTTAACCCTTTCCACTTCGATGAAGGTAATCTTTAAGCTGAAAAAGCAAGGTGTCTCCCTTGTTCTTTCTTAAGATTCATAAAGGATGTCTAAAAAATTTCCTTGTCTTTTTTCCTTTTTTTCCCTTTTTTCCCTTCCCTTCCCTCCTTCCCCCCTTTTCTAATATCTGAATTCAGAATGTAAAATCTTGTCCTTCAAGAGGTTTCGGAGATGCTTCCAGAGCAATGGAGAGCTGGATTAGGAAATCTGTTGAAGGAGTGTAGCTGACGGATCTTTCACACCCATTCTTCCAACTGGTTATGGGGTGTTTCAGTTATTCAAGATCACAGAAAACAAAACAAAGATGATCACAGGAGTTTATACTGCAGTAAGTTGTGTGTGGGCAAGCCACTACTTTAGCAAAATCCAGCAGGACTCTGTGAGATCCCAAAGGTCTTCTGCAATAGCATGACTGCAGGACTATGGGCTGAATTTAACATGGAGCCCATTCTCTAACTTTCTGGCCATACACAATTCCTTCAGCCACTTAACTGCATCAGATGAACAGCTTATGAATGTCAGTTTATGTGAATAATAAGGTGTCATGCTTTAACCCCAGCCAGCAGCCAAGCCCCACACAGCTGCTCACTCACTTGCCCACCAGTAGGATCAGGGAGAGAATTGGAAGGCTAAAAGCCAGAAAACTCATGGGTTGAGATAAAGACAGTTTAATAGGCAAAGCAAAAGCTGCACATGCAAGCAAAGCAAAAAGAAGTTCGCTGCTTTCCATGGGCAGAAAGGTGTTCAGCCAACTCCAGGAGAGCAAGGCTCATCACACGTAATGGTCACTTGAAAGGACAAATGCAATCACTCCAAACATCCCCCCCATTCTCCTTCTTCCCCCCAGCCTTACATTCTGAGCATGATGTCCTATGGTATGGAATATCCCATTGGTCAGCTGGGGTCAGCAGTCCTGGCTGTGTCTCCTCTCAACTTCCCATGCATCCTCAGTCTCCTTGCCAACATGGCAGCACAAAAAGCAGAAAAGGCCTTTGCTCTATGCAAACACCTCTCAGCAGTAACAAAATCATCTCTATATTATCATCACTGTGTTCAGCACAAATCCAAAACATAGCCCTATACTAGCCACTGTGAAGAAAATTAAGTCTACCCCAGTCAAAACCAGTGAATAAGGAAAACTAGA